GAAATCCCAGTGTTTTCGTTGGGATTTTCCCTGCCCTGTGCAGTTATTATGTTGGCTTGGAGGCTCATGGGTTTCCTGACGAAAATATCGCAGTTCTGGAAGACGGCCGGCGCGTCACCGAATATGAAATCGATGGTGCCGTAGATTTTGCAGTCACGGTAGAATTGCCTGAGCGAGTGAACGAACAGGGTGTCCTGATAACCCCTGAAGCTGCACCGGTAAAAGATAGAGCGGTCGGAGTTCACCCTCAGTGCCACCGCCTGTCGTTTTGCCGGACCGGCAGTGTTCTCGAACGTCATGTCTCTCGCCCAGAAACCATCACCGGAAACTCCTAATTATGCAATCAAAATTTAATTGAGCCCACCAATTAGAACTCGAAACAAATCCTCTGACATAACTAAGAATTATATAATGTTTTGATTTTGACGTTCTTACCAAATGTTGCGGAGCTGTAGGTGGTGGTGCCACCAGGGACATTCTGGTTACCGGTGACGATTGTTCTGTCCATGCCATCACCAACCATCATTATGTTTTTCGCATTCCTTTCAATTTCCACGTTCTCATTGTAAACCCCTGCCTTCACGTAGATGATTACTCTTCCGAGATGGCTGTTGTCCGTTCTTGCAGCTGCAGCCACTGCCTCATTTATTGTTCTGTGGGTGCCGGAACCATCTTTCGCAACCACAAAGTCTGCCCTGGATGTTGCCGGACTCCATGACACCAAAATCCCACCGTTTTGGTCGATTGTCGGTCGTTTTGGTATCCCTAACAAGCAAAGTTAGAATATAGGTGATTAGTTTTGCGGAAATTTGTCATAAATTAAATAAAATGATTTTTGATTTACATCCTTACCTTGCTTTGTACCCTTACCCTTCCTATAGAGGGCCAGGGCTTCACTAAGAAACACTGTTAAGTTATGGGAAACTGCATTATTAGCTCTAACAAACCCTTTCTCATTCAATCCATCCAAACAAGTCCTATGGTTGGCGAGCACGGCGCTTAACCAAGTGCGAGCGTCGTCAATGTTGTAGCCTTCACCGGAGAGTAGAAGCGAGAGCCTATACTCACTCTCATTATACAACTTGGCACAGTCACTTGGTGCTAAACTATTGCCACCATTAAGGGTATGGCCCGAGTCCAACCCATGGAGGGTAAGTGAGGCTTGATGGACCCAATTAGAAGCATGGAGAACCATAGCTCTAGCCCTACGCAAAGCCTCCTGCTCTTGGGTGCTAGAGATGGTGGATCTGGTGGTACCCACCGCTAATAGGAGGAGGAGGAGGAGGAGGAGGAAGGTGGTGGCAATAGCAGACATTTTTGATGCCATGAACAAGGTATCGGAATTACCAGTGTTCTGTATTCTGTTTATATAAATAGATCAGTGAGGGAACAAGCACTTGGATCATTGTTGCCAAGTGTCTTTTCTTCAAGTTGGTTATAAAATATTTCGTATGGGTCTCTCGAGTCACAGTTAGCTAATTAAGGATCATAAAGAACATTGATTAACACCCATGAAACTAGTGACCATGTTCCATTGTTTTTTGAGCAATACATCGTCATATTCCTTGGAACCTTTTGGCTACTGTTAAAATTAGACATTATATTTGTTCAAATCATACCCTTATCCGATACTCCGAGGTGCATATGTGTTTGAATTTGCTTACGAGTGAGTGATGTTTCTGTTGCTATAATTCAAGTATGATTTTGCAATTGTATGTATTGAGTCTCGCGGTCACATTTGAATTCCTTGCAGTCTTTGTCTCCTAGCAATGAAATTATGAATACAGCTACATCCCAATAATAAAATGAGGAGAATATAGGGAATCGGTGAGGTGTGGTGGAGACCAAAGAGAACTGAAACTTCGTTTGACAATATTTTTTAGTATTTTAGTTTTTAATTTTTATATTATTTTATTATTTTAAATTTATATAAAATATTAATTAAAATATATTTACTAAATACTTCTATATTTTTTAAAATATTAAAAAATTAAAAATTTTATAACTATAATTATAATTATAAGACAATACTATCAAACTAAGCTTCAACGTGAAGGGTATATAAGAGAGAATTGAATCAATGTTGGGTTTTGTTTGGGAACAACTTGTTTAGAAAAGGGGAAGAGACTGGTGGTCTAGGCTTTTGCCAAAGATGTAAAATGGTTATGCAAAACCATATGTTAAGCTCCTAAATTAACTCTAGATTTGTTATTAAATTTTTAAACTTTAATTAATGATATAAACCCCTAAACTTTACAATCTGAGTAATTTAACCCTTAATTCTTTAATAACCATAAGAATAAGGGTTAAATTACAATAAGAATAAAGACTAAATTGCTTAGATCATAGGGGTTTATATGCATCAATTAAAGTTTAGGGGTTCAATAGTGAATTTAAAATTAATTCAGGGGCTTAACATATAGTTTTACCAAATAGTTACGGGTTTAATGGTACTATTATGTTGTGACGACCAACGTCTCTTCTGGCTTGGAATTTGGGCATTTAGAAAAATAAATAAATAAATAAATACAACAAAATCAAAACTTTCCCCTACTGACTGGCAGTAAAAAGTCAAAACAGTGGTGAATTTTGTAGGGCTTTGGGTTTTGGGCAAGCTAGGCCCATCGAACCTTCGATTTTTGAGACTTTTCTTCGTTTTCATGGATCCATGATTCTACTAGGCCTAAAGCTGAAGGTCGATGGACCTGGCCTAGTGGCCCGAAAATGGTTCCACGTGCCTTGCCTTTACGTTAGGAAGCTAATGCTGGATTAGTGAAGAATATATCATTTTGACAAAAAAAAAAAAACTTTATTTATTAGCAAATGTTTAATAGTATTAAATTTTATATAATTGAAGAATTAGTTAGAATTGTTAGATTAATTAAAAATTGATATATGTGATTTATATGAATAAAATTTTTAATCTAATAATTAGTTTTTAAATAAAATTTTCAAAAAAAATTTAAAAAATCACCTATAAAACACTTTTTCTAAAAATATTTACCATGTGTTATACTTGAGTTCCCTCGTTCAAAAAATAAATAAACAAAGTATAAAATTGAGTTTGAGTATATTGTATGTTACAATTTTATTAAGATATCAATTATATTAACCAAATTCGCATTCTTACTTTAATTTAAACTTGTTTTATGAAGTATTTGGCATAATGGTTTGAAATTACAATAACAATTAATTGTTTTATTTAATATGATGGTTAATAATTATTATTGTTTATAATCCAAATACACTTATTTATTAAATTAAATTCTTAATTGTTAACTTTAAACTATTATATCAAACGGTCCATTATTTAAACAAATTGAAATATCAAGATTTGAACTCCGAGTCATTGATACATCAGAAATCAAACTCGAGTTGTTGATGGATACCACCATGGCCCTACTTACTTTTGCATATTTTTTAAAGATTAAATTTCTAATTTGGTTCATGAACTATTGTATGAACCTATAATTTGATCCATGAACTATTATATAGATCTATGATTTGATCCTTACTGTTTACTGATTTAATTTCAATGTGGTTCTTCTATACAAAAAACAACTTATGTGTTCGTTGTTTAATAATGAAATATAATTACTTAACGATCACGTGTCACGTTAATAATGAGATACATTAGTTGTTTTTTATATAAAAAAATCAATTTAAGACCAATTGATAGATAGCATGACTAAATTAGAGGTCTGTATAATTATTTAGGGATTAAATCAAAATTTTTTTTAGTTTATAAATTAAATCTAGAGTTCATATAATAATTCAGAAATCAAATTGAGAATTTAACTTTTTTTTAAAGTGCCATTAACAGTTAATGATAAGCAAAAGATTTGTAAACAAAGCTAAGACAAGCAATATGTATTGCACATAGTAGTTGATATTAGTTGTATCAGTATTTTCAAAACGGTTGTTCTCGATAACGTGAAGTGAAGTAACATCCTTCGTCAAGGTCTTTTTTTTTTTTTCTTCTTCTTCTTCTTCTTTTTTCTTGATAAGTACAAAAGGTCAGAAGATTCAACGCTTGAAAGCCACCCATTTGTCCATGGATTTAGTTCGCAGACTTTGGTCCCTAGACGTTATTACCGTACTTTTGAATCATAAATTCTCAACAACCAAAAAAGCTTCTTAAAAATCAAAGCAAATAAAGTCATAATCTATAACTAACATGGTGACAATGATAATTATGAAACGTGTCAAATTTTATTTGCATTGCATGACTCCGGTTTTGGGGATTTGGTTGTCTTTAACAGTTTCACGACGCCTGAATCCGAGTGCTATGTTCTAGGAAAAAGCTCAACCCCCTTTTTCTTTTATTTCCTTTACAACTCTCTTTTTCTTTTATCCAAATATATTGCAATTATTAAATTAGCATTCCACGTTACTCTAGTAGCAGGGTTAGTTATTTTTTATTATTGCTGATAAAAAAAAGTTAGTTTTTTATTATTAAAGAACAATATTAGTAATTATTTTTAAAAAATTTTAAAATTTAAAAATAATTTATATTTTTATTTATATTATCTTTAAAGAAAGAGATGACAACAAAGAAAAAGAATTAAGAGACAACAATATTATGATCAACGTAAAAAATTATATTTGTTTAGCTTAAAATATAAAAAGTCAATAATTAATGTATGACAAATTTGAGTAGTATGTTGAACTTAATGGGAATGAAGCGGAGGAAAAGAAGTCTTTTGTTTTATTTTTTTTAATTAATTTATTTATGTAAATGAGGAGAGGGAGACAACATCCATCCTTCCTCTCTCTTCTATTTTTCTTAATTTAAATATATAATATATTAAAAATAATAATTATTTTTAATATATCAAATAATAAATTATTTAATAAAAAATAATTATTTTTTTTACTAATTCTTTTTCACTCATTTTTAAATATAAAATTTAAATTTTTAATATAAAAATTTAAATTTTTTTCGATTATGACGTATGCTAAAGGACAAAATAACAATTATTGTAAATTAGAGAAAGTATGTATATATTTTGTATATTTGTGTTCAACAGTACCTATCAATAATTCTTTTTCTCTCATGCCAATCAACAATTGATGAAATTTTATTTTATATTATAGAGTTGGATTTTGTAAACACAAACGATTCGAACGTTAGTTGTTAACCTGCGTTTGTTAGATATCGGATTTATAAAACTGGATTAGCATAACAATTTGTGGCTTGTAATTTCCATAAACAAGAATCAATCTGTGGCTTAGTCAATAGGCATAAATAAACAATTAATGAAAAATTAGTTTTGACTAAAAAAAAGTCTGTGGGTTAATCTTAGCCACAATCAAAGATGGCTGCCGCAGTTCAGAGCAGTTCGATTGTTAGCATAATAGTTTCGTTCCACAAAAAAAAAAAAA